TCTCACTTTTTAGGAGGGTGTTCTTGCCACTGAGCTATGGGATAATCTGATGTGAGTGCTTGTTGAAACTGTTCCAATGTGCATAAATACTTATAAGTCATATATAGAAAGAGTGACTGGAGTCCAGTAGTTAGGGCATTCATGCGAGATGTGAGACCCATGGTCCAGTCCCCAGTCCTGCTGCTCTTATCACTCTTTCATTATTTATCCACAGCTTCAACAGGAGATACTGAGGGAGTCCCACATTAAACTGGTGATTAGAGTACTCTCTTGGGAGACCCATGTTCAAATCCTTTCCCCCTCTGCGGCAGAGGGAGGAATTTAATGTGTAGAGTCAAGCACAGGAGTTTATTACGCATAGCACTGGTGGAGTGTCACTTTGCTTATTCGGCTCAGAGACATTGCAAAACAATTAGTTACAATAGATTATATATGGTGCTCATTGGGCAGAGAGAAGCGACAGGGATGGGTTTTCCCAAACCCCTGGATAGGTTCTAACAGCAAGACAAGATGAGCACAATAAGCCAATGGTATAAAAGATTACATAATGGTTCCACCCATGGCCCAAATTAACATATTGCTGACACACAGGTAATTACCCCCAAACTATGTCTATTGAAGTGTATAGGTTAAATCCTAATTTTGGGGTCCAGGGGAATGAGGTAGCAGCTCTCTCGGTTGACCAACAGGTACATTCCTAGAGACTTAAAGCAAAAAGCAGTAATTAGTACTTAACAATTTCACAAGTTTACCCTTGCATTTCTGTGGGCTAGGACTGGCATACATCTGTGGGTGTCATAACTCATGTTAATCATATTAGGCCTCTCCCCAAACCTTGTCTAGGATCTGAGGGGTATTGTACCACTATCTCCTCCCTGCATGAGGCCTTTCTCGGCGCTTCATGTGTCTATAACTCACAATAAGGACGCCCAATTACATTTGGAGTTATGCTGACTCTGCTCACTGACTTGAAACACACAAGGTTATCTGTTTACCCCAGCTTCCTTTGAGCTATGTATTGTTATCTATTAGCCAGCCCCCATAGCCCAAGCCAAGCTCTGGACTCCGGGCCTATATTGAAAAGTTCTTAGCAGAAACTGTAGTTAAGATCTTACATCCATAGCTAATGGATTCTGACCCTTCACCTACTGTCATAAACAGATAGTTAAGAGTTAATGCCTCTTTTACCTGTAAAGGGTTAAGAAGTTCACCTAGCCTAGCTGACACCTGACCAGAGGAACCAATGGGGGGTTAAGATTTTTTTCAAAAGGAAGGAGGGAAGTTTCCTTTGTTTAGTTTCAGTTTAAGTTTTGACCAGAGTGGGAAAGCTCCAGAACTCAGCCTCTTATCAAATAGTGAGTATTAGTGAAAGAAATAAACATAAACCTATTAACTTGTCTTCGGCATTAGGGAATAATCAAATTGGGTATTTTTTGTGTAACTAAGTTTTTGCCCAGGGGAGCATCCTCTGTGTTTTGAATCTGTTGTCTGTGAAATCCGCTTGTATGCTATCTCCCAGAGTTTCTTTTACCTTTCTTTTCTTTAATGAAAAAAAAAAAGGGCTTTTAAAGAACCTGATTGATTTTTTCCTTGTGTTAAGATCCAGGGGGATTGGATCTGGACTCACCGGGAATTGGTGGGGGGGGAAAGAAGAGGGGATGGTTAAATTCTCCTTGTGTTAAGATCCAAGGGTTTGGATCGGTGTTCACCAGGAAATTGGTGAAGTCTCTCAAGGCTACCCAGGGAAAGGAGTTAGAACTTGGGAGTGGTGACAGCAAAACCAGATCTAAACTGGTAATTCAGTTTAGGGGTTCACATGCAGGTCCCCATATCTGTACTCTAAAGTCCAGAATGGGGGGTGAAACCTATGACACCTACTAATCTAGAGAACTCTGCCTCCATATGGGCTCATGCAGCCTTTGCAGTTTACTCAAAAGCTTGCCATCCAAGCTGGACAGCAGTCTCAGCACTCAATCTCTGTAGCAGAATTTTTAGAAGTACCGTATTTTCCGGTGTATAAGACAACTGGGCGTATAAGACGACCCCCAACTTTTCCAGTTAAAATATAGAATTTGGGATATACTCGCCGTATAAGACTACCCCTCTTCCAACGCACACCAAAAAAAAAATTAAAAAAACATCAGATTTGATTTCAATATGGTAATTTTAATTCAAATGCTTATGACATACAGGTACTTAGCAGGAAAACTGTCACTTATAAACATAAGGCTGTTAATCATCAAACATATAAAAAAATATCAGTATAAAAATACAAAACTTAATATATTTAGATTTT